TTCTTTTTTATTATTCTGGAAAAAAAAAGATTAAATCATTTTCAATAATAAGAATTCAAACACTCGCTGGCCGCATTCAGCTGTGAGGATTATGATCGGTTCACTCAGACAGACCAGGCTCAGGTGTTGTAAAATAGTTAGGCCTAACTATTTTACAACAGTTCATTTTCAGATACGATTGTGTTTTCAACCATTTGTGTGTTGTTGTATTTGCTTTTTATAATAAAGGGACACAAATGACATCATATTTGCAATTTAGGCTAATGAGTGTCCATTTTACAGCTTTCCGTACATTGAGGGGTTTGCAGGCTAACTTTAGCTAATTTAGAAGCCTCAAGTGCTAAAGTGATGAGGTGCTAAGGCTATCAACTTCGCCAACTTTGTGCTTTTTTTTTACACTGCTGTTTCCATCACACTGGCATAGCATGGGGTGGTGAGTATAGATATACATACCTAGTTGCCTGTTGCTCTCTGAGATGATGCGTCTGCGCGTCCGCCATGTTGGAGAGGTCAAGGTCCGCTTGTGAACAGATTCACTTGTATTGAGAGGTGATGAGACTCAGGATTAAATCAGCCACAACTTCCTTATTACTCAACCGATTTTCACCAAATTTTCAAGTTTTGTTGCACGAACAAATCTCGGTAGCTTTTATTTCTTTATTAACTGATCGTGCTAATTATCTGTCCGGCCCAGTGGGAAAGTATTCGGTCTGCACCTGACGTACGTTTAGTGCGATCTCCCTTAAAAACACGATCAGCAAATCCATCAATGTGTGAATCACTTCTAATCTTAATACACAGAAAGACGAAGCTATGTTGGCTTCCTATTCGCCAGCTTCTTGTTCGAGTTTTCCTGTTCCACCTTAAATGGTGCAGCAGTCACTTTCTGATGCCTGAAGCTGCACCATTTAAGATGGAACGGGAAAATGCGAACAAGAAGCTGGCAAATAAGAACCTAACCTAACTAGTTTTGTATAATAAGGTGCTAATCTATTAGAAATATCTACACAAATTAAGGAGTGTGAGGACTATTAAATGAAATAAGCTTAATATAAAACCAGAGGAAAAACAATCACATCAACAGGTTCTCTGTGCCTCACCAACCACACGACCATGTCTACATAAACATCACACAGATAATACGAATCACACAAACATGAGTGTGGATCAATGCTTTCCCTCCGTTATATAATCCTATCACACTTTTTGAGTGCAATATTCTTGAAACAGTGTAATTTGGACAGTATCTTTCTTAAACTGCCGCTCTGTAATACTGAATGCGGTAATACGGTACTGAATGCAGTCCAGCAGCGATGCCTGGCTGGACCCAACATGGCATCTAGGTATGTGTATCTATGTTGGTGAGGCCCAATGCGATCTCGTTTCATGGGGACTTTGTGGCGCCCAAGGACACAGATGAGGGGCATGACTAAAGAGCAGGAGCTGAAGTGTAGCAGGAAAACCAAAACAAACAAAATCACATGATCTGAGATATGTGGGAAGGTAAACAAGGGCAGACAGATAGAGGGGGAATCGCAAGGTTACGAATGGAAACAGTGAATGTGTTGATATGCGGGAAAGTAAAACTCGGGGCGCATTTTAGTGAAACGTAAATAGAAACCGGCCATGAAATGCATGTTACTGCAAAGTGTAAACAGCCTTAAAGTTGCTGGTACAAGTCTGATTCAGGCTTCAGTTTCATGCCAGTGCAGACCTAAATGTTGCACATTGCAAATTGGGCGACTGGGGCTTCCAGTAACAGCTGCATTAGCCTTGTAGCATCAAAACGGTCAGACACCAAACATATTCTTTACTGATCAACTACATTAAGGATAAGAGGAAAGCTGAATTTTTGAACTTCATACCATACAGTTCTATACAGAATCACATGAGGGTGTGCTTTGAAACAGCTTGCCTCAGCCGTTTGGTTTTCCTCTTGGGTTGTAGTTGCTAAGAGATGTCTTTAACAACAGGGAAGTCTTAATTAGCTGAAGTTTCCCAACACAGTAGCTCCCATTTCAAAGGAATGTCTAATGAAGATGCTCGATGTATAGGGGTTCAAGAAGTACAAGCATCAATATTCATATAGCATTTTTATGCTTTTATTATATTATGGCGATGGACGAAAGGTTAAAGATGTGTGGCAAAAATGCAGTGGGGTGATTTTTAATCTTTGTCTTTTAATTTTTGTAAATATAGAACCACTGCACCCAAAAAGCGCTAGTATGGCCAGGCCTCACTGAAAGGTCGTGGGAACAGTTAGCACCGTGGCATTTGCACAGTGCTAAATGGCTCCTTTTTTAACGCCACTTTTAGCACTTATGGGTGAAGTATTCCTTTAAAAGCTGCCATTTAGAGCTTTTTTCTAAAGGGGAAAATGAGTCAGGCCGGCTAATGCGTTGTTGTGAAATTATGCATGCAAAGGAACAGGAAAAGGACACCAGCGCTCTCCTCTATTATTGAACCACAGCCAAGAAATAATAATAGCCAACGGCTATTATAACTAATAACGAGACCTGCATATCAGAGAGAAAATCATTAGGAGCCGAGACCCGCTCAGAATAAGTATAATTAAAGTTATATGAGGCTGTGACTTTCTACTTTTTCATCAGAGACACTGTATCTAGAACACTGACTGGCATGTCATCATCAGTTCTGCATGCTCTTGATGAATCAGCCCTGAGATGCAGTATTAAAGCACAATGCAACGATTCTTACGCTGACCGTTTGAGGCGCGGTCAACTCTGCAATCCTGCGGAAGAAAACAGCACAGACTAGCATGCGTTTTATGTTGGTTTCAGCTGGTTTTTCATGGTCTGCTAGTTTATGCTTGTCTGGCTGACCAGCATCCCAACGTTCAAAACACAACATGTGCTAGATTTGCTGGTGCTAGTCTGTGCTGGTTTTCTAGCAGGGAAGGTGGAAGCTGGTCTCACATTAATGCTAATCATTTACAGAGATGGAAAGTAATGGTTTGCCGTTACTGCTGTTGTAGTGTTTTTTTCCAGTAACATTTTAAGGACAGTTATCACAATCATTTTTATTTTAATTTTAATTTTTATGAATTAATTTGTAATTTGAGTTAGAAGAGTTAAATTATTTTTGTTATTCAGAGTTAGATTATTTAAAAATGTCTTCTTTTCACAACACATCTTCCAACCTGAGGAAACAATCATCTGTCTAGCTAAGTAATCCTAGCTAAACATCTACTACTATGGCTTATATACTATATTGTAAGCTCTGTATTCTACATATAATTTAGTATGTAAGGTAATATTCAAAGTATGCTGACAAAGTTAGCTTAGGCAACCAATGTAAGCAAATGTTTAAATGAGACTAACACAGTACTTTGAACATTAGCTTAAGTACAAAGAAAGGAGCCGATGTAAGCTAATGTTCAAACTATGCTAACAAAATTAGCGTAGGGAGCCGATGTTAGCTAATATTCAAAGTACACTAAAAATGTTACGTGAGGTAGTCAGTCTAAGCTAATGTTTAAAATACGCTAACAAGGTTAGCTTAGGGAGCCGATGTAAGATAATGTGCAAAGTATGCTAACAAAGTTAGCTTAGGGAGCCGATGTAAGCTAATATTCACAGTCCGCTAACAAAGTTAGCATAGGGAGCCGATGTAAGCTAATATTCACAGTCCGCTAACAAAGTTAGCTTAGGGAGCCGATGTAAGCTAATATTCACAGTCCGCTAACAAAGTTAGCATAGGGAGCCGATGTAAGCTAATATTTACAGTCCGCTAACAAAGTTAGCTTAGGGAGCCGATGTAAGCTAATATTCACAGTCCGCTAACAAAGTTAGCAAGGGTAGCCAATGTAAGCTAATATTCACAGTCCGCTAACAAAGTTAGCTTAAGGCACTCTCCGTAAATAGGGTTCATCTTAGGTCTTAGAAATCTTAAAAATTGTGTTTTATTTTTAGGTGTTCAAATTATTAATCAAAGTGAGCTTAACCTTCAGAAAATGTTATTTTCTGTCAGACGGTCAAATCAAAAACTGTATGAGCTGCTTTCACCATGCATGACTCAATAACAGTGTTAAAGCAAGTAACAGGGTTGAACACAGAGATCATTTTTTCCCATTTAGCTTATAATAATGCAGAAAAGAACATAAAATATACAGCATAGAGCATCCAGGAGTGGTTAGCTTGACAAGGTGCACATGTTGCATACTAACTACTAATAACTGTATACATTGCACTATTTAAAAACATATATGAATATTCTTTTTTCGAACAGTAATTTTGGTAACTGGTTGATTGAGAATACTGACCTTTCTGATGGTCATTCTGCATAAAACATGAAGATGATGATGATGATTCCTGTAAATATCCGGAATGTTTCGTTTTTTTTACAAGGGGAACAGGTTTGGGTAACTAGGCTGGGCATAAAATGTGGGACAGGTTAAAATGACCTTTTTTGTCATTTAGTCATTCTTTTAACATTACATTGAACAACACTGTAACTGTGTTACTTATATTTCATAGGGGAGTTTAATGTCGGTGAGGTGAGAGAGCCCAAAATCACCATGTTAAAGGTGGTTCCGGATATATTATGTGTTTTTGTGATCATTTAACTGCTAATTTTAATAATCTTATTTGAAGTTAAAGTAGAGATCTCTTCACTTTTTATAGAAATAAAACAACAAAAAAACAACAACAGTCACAGTTTGTTGCTTTTAAAAAGGTAATGGGACATTGAACTCTGTGGAAAGTGCCTTAAGTAGCCTGTATGCTAAGTAAAACCTTGAGCATTGGATTTTCTTTCTTTATTATCATTCTTATTTTTGGATATTGGCACCTTGTTGTCCATGTCTTCCAGTAAAAGGAATTTTATTTGAATTATTTTCTTTATTGATATGTTTGTGTTCAAATGAATCATAAGTACAGCAGCAGCAGTGATTTTATTCATCTTTCCTCTCATGTTCTTTCGCTGTGAGTGCAGCTGAATTCAAAGCTTTAATTATACTTTTGTTGACGTGACCTCCTCAGCTACACCTGGAGGACCACAGAGTGGGGTGAGTGCCGCGTGGACGCGTTGCTAAGCCAACAGGACCGGCGCCGTGGCAACCAGACGGGCTTGTGCGGGGGTGGCCTGCAGACGAGGGAGGTGTACTGTGTCCAGGCCAACGCTGAGCTGCTGTCTTACCTGAGCAACAACCAGGACAAAACAGGTAGAGCACCAGGATTAAAACCTGACTGGGGGGCCTTGTGTGTCATACAGTGTCAGAAACCACGTTGAGATTGCTTAACTACTCAGAGATTGCATGTGTGTGATGATTTAGGCCTGTAGTTTGCATCATGCTAATTGATTGGGTATAAGTTTCCACACATCTGAACCTGTAGCTGTATAAGCCTCTTAGCTCCAGTGCAAAACTTAAGACCAGGGGCAGCTGCATAGGGCCCCATGAGCCAAGGGCCTCATGAAAATAAAATTTACACTGTCCATGTTTATGTTTATATATATATATATATATACACACACACACACACACACTGATCAGGCATAACATTATGACCACCTCCTTGTTTCTACACTCATTGTCCATTTTATCAGCTCCACTTACTATATAGGTGCACTTTGTAGTTCTACAGTTACAGACTGTTGTCCATCTGTTTCTCTGCATACTTTGTTAGCCCCCTTTTACCCTGTTCTTCAGTGGTCAGAAAATAATAATATAAAATAATAATAATAATAGAAAATAATAAAATAAAATAAAAATTCTGACTGTAGCAGTTTTTTTCAGTAATTTCAGTTCAGCCCCACAGGCCCAGCAGTACATAATGCAAGCATTAATTTTAGTATAGATAGCTCCTGTAATGGGATTATATTACTGGTTACTGGAGAACGTAATCTCTCTACTCATCACTTTGCTGCTACGACACTCTGTGCCTCATTATATTGGCTATATACTGTATCTCAATATATTGGCAGATAACTGCACTTTTACTTTTGTAAAAAAAAAAATCTATAAATTGACTAAATAATCTTAAAATATTCTTAAAACAATCTCAAAATGATAAATATTAAATATATCAAATAGAGTAAAGGTAATTTTACTTGTCAAGATATCATTTTTTGTTGGAGATCTTATTTTTGTGTAGACAGTTGTGCCACTTGGGAGCCTCAACAAATTTAAAATGTGCATCTAAGGGGCCCCATTCCTGTCTTTTGCAGAATCACTAAGTCTACCCCTGCCTAAGACCCGATCTTCAGACACCAAACTGTCTTGGCCGATAATGTACAGTGCATGTGTGCCCTGGTACTACAGTGTCTAGTTCCAACCACAGTTTTTAGGCTGTACAGTTCATGCTAATGATATTTTCTCTAACTAAGATGAGAGACATTTCAGCAGTTGTAGTTTGACAGTTTTTAGATGAGTCTAAAGGCCTTAACACACCTGGTGAGATTTATTTGTGCATTTTAATTAGATGTTTAATTAGATGTCAATAAATTAATTCAATTACGTGTATAACTGATGATTTCTTGCATATTAATTGTAAATTTTTCAGACGGCAAAAATGAAACATTATTTAATTCTGTCTCTGTTTTTGAAATCTCAGATTTAGATTCTCTTCTTTGAAAACTGAAGAGCTGTACGGAGCCCTGCTGGTGACATCCTGTATAAATAAAAATAATGTGTGGCCACAACGTCTTAACGTGTGGGAACAAGATAATTAAGTCATGGCCATGTCTTAGTAAGGTATGGGAACAAGATAATTAAGCCGTGGCCACGACTTAGTAAGGCTGGGAATGAGATCATGCCTTGTTGAGCTGTGGTCTAGGCTTAATTATCTCATTTCCACGTCTTATTAAGTCGTGGTCAGGGTATTAGTAATGCGTTCCCATACCTTGCTAAGTTATGGCCACAACTTAATTATCTCGTTCCCACACCTTACTAAAACATGGCCATGACTTAATTATCTCGTTCCCATGTTTAACTAAGTCATGGCCACGACTTAATTATGTTGTTCCCACGCCTTACTAAGACATGGCCATGACTTAATTATCTCGTTCCCATGTTTTACTAAGTCATGGCCACGACTTAATTATGTTGTTCCCACGCCTTACTAAGACATGGCCATGACTTAATTATCCCGTTCCCATGTTTTACTAAGTCATGGCCACGACTTAATTATGTTGTTCCCATGCCTTACTAAGTTGTGGCCACGACTTAATTATCTCATTCCAATGCATTACTAAGTCGTGGCCAGGTATTAGTAACGTGTTCCCATGCATGTGCAGGAGTGTGTTCTCTGTAGGGGATGTGTAACTTATTCTCACAATCAGCAAAACGTAGAATTTGACCGGGACACATAAAAACCTCTACATATGACTGTGTTCACAGCTACAAGTGTACTGTGTAAGTGTACCTCTGAGAATGTTTTGCTCCAGTGATCATTCTCACTTACTTTAGGAAAGATGCTGGTTGGTAAGGAAACATTACTGAGTGGTGGGGGAGAAAAATACATGGGTGTTGATATTTGATATTTTCACATTTTTTTCTTATGGCAAAAGCTCCAGCTCAGTCCAAAGCAAAGGAGAAAGAAATGGAAGAAAATCCTACGAACTTAGTAGAATTTCTTCTCTTGTACCTTTAATCCTGCTGCCACTTTAAAAGTTAAAAAACTATTTATTCAGTTCAAGGTTGTTCATTTGCATATATATTGCATATTTTGACAAAGGTGCCACGCCCTAAAATATCATAACGTATAAATAAAAATAAATAAAAATAACGTATTCATGAGGTCAGGCGCCCTTGCAGTTTAGTTCAGGGGTTCGCTCACTTGTACATGCCAGAAAGCTTTAGTGCACACATTAATAAACTGTCTCTAAGTGCTTTGGTAAGTTTCATTAATACTGTACTTCTTGTTTTTGATATATATTATGACGTTTTATGGTGGAAGTCGGTAGGAACTCTGAGCGCTAGAGCAGTTTATTCTAGTATTTCTCACAGGATCCAGCTCTGAGAGCACAAACGAGCTCCCATCACTCAGCCACATGCATACAGACTCCACATTCTGAACTGTTTTCATACAGTCTGCATCAGCGTTTGTCCACATACACACCTCCTCTTCCTCTAGAAATGACCACCTTTTCATCTCTCTTCCTTTTCTCTCACTCCATCTCTCCCTCTTTCTCTCTCGTCTGCTCTTCTTTCTCCTCTAAAAATGAGAGGTAGCTTCTTGTTCGCCTGGATCGGTTTTTGCGTAAAGGCTGAATGTGATTTATTTGTGGGATTTATATGGACAACAGTAAATTAATTAAAACACACTTATAATAAAGCAGTAATTTTAGCGATTCCTAAACTCTCCTCCTTGCACAGCCTCAAGTGGCTTATTCGGTGTCGACCAGAGGAGGATGGGTTCCCCTTTTGAGTCTTAGTTGCTCTCAAGGTTTCTCCCTCTTGCTCTGAGGGAGTTTTTCCTTGCCACTGTCATCATTGGTGACACTCATGGGGGCTCAGACCCGGATTTTTCTGTGAAGCTGCTTTGTGACCTCACCTGTTGTAAAAAGCGCTATATAAATAAACTTTGACTTGACTTATTGCTTTTATAAAACGGTGACCAACATAAAATATGATAAAATACAATTTCTCAGAAAATAATTTATTATTAATAGTAATCAACATAAACATGTATTCCACCAAGAAATGTAGTTCCTTTAGAGTATGCTATCGTTGCCAAGCAACCATTTACATACTGGATCGTGCAGCGCAGTGGTGCAAAATATAGCTAAGAAAAAGTCATTTGGGACTCTTGATAAATGATGCACTATTTGGCTGTGGAGGCTAGAATTTCTGAACTTTCATAGTTAGCACACTATTTAGGGAGTACAGAGCCGTTTGGGATTCAGCCTGGGTTTGATGCAACTTCTGACTGAAACACGAACATTTGAAGCGTTTAATCCATTCAAGTGTCATTTTTAGATTTTTATACAGCTGTTTTACAGTTAATCAAACCGTAAGTACTTTAATTCAAGCCTGTGATATTAATGATGGAGTTGTTTAGGCTGTTTGCTATCTTTTAGCCTGTTAGCTAGCTGACCAGTCTAGTTCTAGTTAAGAACATAAGTCTCCAGAACCCCCAGTTAAACAAAAAACAGGTTCTTACTTCATCAATATACTCAAAGATGTTTATTTCTCTGTTTTTTTTGGCATGATGACAACCAGTGTGACAGAGCAGCTGTGAACTTTCTCACAAATGCTGAATCAGAATCAGAAACGCTTCAGCTTCGGAATGAAGTGATGAAGCTCTTTATGCTCTCTGACTTTTCCAGAATGGACAGTCTGCAGTGGTCCAGTGTCACCAGCATCCTGCTCAACCCTCTCTCCCTCCTGCTCCCGCTTTTTTCCACCATCCCCCTTTCTCACTTTCATTATCTTTTTCTCTTTCTTTCCTCTTTTTCTTTCCCTTTCTCTCTCCCTCCCCCTCTCTCTTTTTCCTTCTCCTTTCTGTCTCATGGACTCTCTCTCAGACTTTTTCCCTCCCTCCCTCTCTTTCTTTCTCTCTCTCTCTCTCTCTCTCTCCCTCCCTCCCTCTCTTTCTTTCTCTCTCTCTCTCTCTCTCTCACTCACTTTCTCCCTCCCTTCTCCTCTCTCCTTTCTCTTATCTCTTACTTTCTCTCTCCCTCTCTCTTTCTTTCCCCTCTCTGTCTTTTGCTCCTGCTCATCTCTCTCTCTCTCTCTCTCTCTCACTTTCTCTCCCTCTTCTTCTCTCTCTGTCTCTCTCTCTCTGCCCCCCCCCTCTCCCAGGACACACACATGTAGCATTAGAGCTGATACTTCTTAAAGATGAGGCTGTGAATGAAAGTGCTGTGGCTGAGATTGCTGTTAAAGGGCCTGCAGGTGGTGATGGCTGGTTTGGGATCGGAGGAGGTCATGTCCTTATCGCTGTGGTGCAGGGCTCCTCTCTCTTTATCAGGGTAATCTGAAGAGGCGGGAGGGCGGAGGGTGAATCTGTGAGTTTGTGCTGTGATGTGGAAACTCTGCCTGCATCGTTATGTGGAGGAGAGAGTGCCGTAACTGAGACGGGAACAGCCGCGAGAGTCGAATGACGCCAGTTTTGCTTATGAAATACTACTTACTCCAAAACTAGCAGATGCACTGCAGATGATGAGTGAAATTAAAAAAAGAAAACACAACAGCCATAAACTGTGAAAGGTTTTTGATAAATATCCATATTTGTATGATTTAAAGCATGAGTGTATGACAGTCACATGTTCAGTATCGCTTGGACAGTTGTCCGCCAAAAGGGGCACAAACAGAGTTTTCATTTGTGATCAAAAGCACGTTGAACTTGATGTGAAGGTTTCAGTGCGTTACAAATTGCAAATCAAACATGCATCTGTAAGAATCAACTCGTTGGAAATGTTCTCACAGCTAAACATTAAAACATTTAACTAAAATTAAAAGGGAAAAGCTGCAACTATCAGATATTTTCATTACCTCAAATATTTGAAGAACAATAGGAAATAATGCTTCATTTCACTCTCAGGATATGTGACCATGTCCAGCACTTCTCACACATTACTGCTTTTAAACCACCCCAACTTTAGGTTTGTAAAAGACTTTTTTTGTAGTCAGTCACATGACCAAATAAAGAACTCTTATAATAAAGAAAAATAACAAATTAACGTTTTGACTGACTTGATAGACCTGATTGTTTTTTTCTGACACTGTATCACATGCTGTTATCTATAAACATGGACAAATAGGACAGACAAAGGCCTAATCCCATTTCACCCCTCGCCCCTACCACTTAGCCCTTAGTCCTAAGTTTTGTGTGTTCACGTCTAGGAGTGGGGTGTCCTGAGTTTTGTTGAGATAGAGGGGTAGGGTGACGTGTTAGGGCTACATGGCCCTCCAAACAGAGGTTTTTCAGAGACTCCAAACAGAGAGTTATGAGAAAAAAAGAAAAACCAGCGAGATGACTGCGCGAGCGACCAAAGAAACCCACAAATGTGAGAATCTTCTCTGTTAAAAAATTACGACAACCATTTTATTATCTTAGTTTAATGTCGTTTCAATGTATTATGGTTCTTTTCTTCATAACAAGTATAAAAATTGCTAATAGTATGCTGATGTATTGCTAGCTAGCTAGCTAAATTTCCCGTTCCACCTTAAATAGTGCAGCAGTTACATTCTGGAGCCTCAGGTATTATAACTGCTGCTCTATTTAAGGTGGAACGGGAAAATTGAAGAAGCTGACGAATAGCTGACTTCGGCTTCTCCGAAGAATTAGGGGTGAGCGATAATAAATAATTGTCGCATCACTTCTTTGAAGGCATATGATTCCCTAAATGTAACTAAAGCCCAGCAGTGAGGAGCTGAACTTTACCCTCCTCTGCTGTCACTGCAGACTGGCAGGGTCGCCTACAGAGCAGCGCTAGTAGCTGTTAATGAAGTAATGCTCTGTGATCAAGTCTGTGATCAAGTCTTAATCATCTCATTCCCACACCTTACTAAGTCATGGCCACGACTTAAATTATCTCGTTTCCACACCTTACTTAGTCATAGCCACGCATTATTTTCATTTATACAGGATGCAGGGCTCTGTATAAACCGGACATTTCCAGAAAGGAAACAAAATATAATTCAAAAACCAAAAACAAACTTCTTAGCAACAGGGACACAGCTGTTTTATAGACATTATGTCATGGATGCAACACACTGTGGGTCCAGTGTATTGCTAAAAATATCACTAAAACTATAAAAGCAATATCACGGTATGCCAGTGTAGATGATATATCACCCAGCCTTAAATGCTACTACTGTTTTTAGCTGTAAAACACACTCTTGTCCATTTTCATAGATACTGGCCTTTAACACCCTCTGATATTGGCTTAAATTTAAACATCTTGAATTGTCTGAAATTGACTGTAAACATGTTGGATTTGTATGTTATTGGCTTTTCAAGTCATTTCATAAGAGGACAGCCTGGGCTAGAGCTAACATGTCCCTGTCTGTCTTCACTTATGAATTGCCTTTGATTGAAGACCCTATTAGTGAAGATCACTATTAATCATCCCTATAGAACATCTGTTGCTCATAGTTACTACCACAGTAGTGCTGCAGTAGTTGTGTTTGTTAGCGATAGATGTTGTGTGTTTTTTCTAGAAGGCCAACCTCAGAGCAGCCCGAAGCCTAGCGTCCCACCCCTCCTCTCCATCACGTTTGAAATCACAGGTAAGATGGAATGAACCCTGTTAAACCCACATAACACATACCGTGCCCTCCTTACCTCTCCTCCTCTCGAACGCTTTACATTCTGCATGTTTCCTGTGCATCAGTGATGGCAGCGCCGTCCCTTGTGTTTACTGTAATGCTCTGTTCTTTGTTTACACATCTGCGCTTTATAAAGTGTTTAGTTTCTCTGAGTTTCAAGGCCTTGCGTGGTCGAGGCAGCAGCAAATGTAGATGTAATGAGTTCTCAGTGGACTGTCTCTGCTCTCCACTGGGCACCAGTCAGCAGCCTGACATCAAGTATGTCAGATATGACAGCAACTACAGAGTGTGTCCTGTCTGGTTTTTCCATGATTTGTTAGTGCCTTGGTGAACACATCTGTGTTCTGTCCTTGGATAGAGGGGGTTTTAGTGGAATAGTGTGGTAAAAAAATATGGTTTTACCATTTAATGTAGTTGATATGTCAAGACATATTTGTATAGACAGTTTACTTGTTTACTGGAACTATGGCTAATGTAGCTAACATGGAAGCTTATAACTCACCAGTTTTTGACACTGTATGACAGACTGTTATCGTTAAAATTGGACAAAAGAGCCAACCCTCAAGTGATGTAACCATCTAGGCGTTTTTTCTGTCATCACGAGTTTGATCCCTGGTGATGCCATAGTCATCCGTAGCCGGGCGTAGAAGAAAAGGTATTCGATAGGGATGAAAACTTTGGCCAGAAAAGACCTACAGATTAAATAGGCCTACTCAGTGGGACGCAGTCTTACCTTTAATCGTCCTGAGTTCCGTCTTTTAACCACACCTGGAGCTTCAGATTCTGAAGCAGATTCTAACACTGGTGTGCAGTGATTAGAGGATTGAGGAAAATGGTGTATAGCATAATAATTTGATTGGCTATAATACAGTCAGAGTGCTCACACAAAACCAATCAAATTTCATTATCTTAAAAAACTTGGCTTAATAAATATTCTTTCCTCATTTGATTGGGTAGGCCTGTTATCAGCCTGGGTAGGCCTAGCTATGCCCTGTGGAGGGTAAGTTTTATTTTACATTTTTCACGAAACTGTAACGTCACATTGCATTTTAATTGGCATTTCATTGAGTTGTTATTCTGTGTATTTTCTCCCTTCTGATTCCAGTGTTCAAATACTCGTACCTCTATTCCCATGCACGCCTTTGCTAGACATGATTACACTGGGGAGAAAATTGTGCAACCATAAAAATACCTAAAAATACTGGCGGCTATGCGACGTAATTTTGTTCATTTTTAGAAATAAAAGTATGTCAACCACTAAATGTGTCTTGGCTGACATTGGGTTAAGAAAAAATGGGATAAATTAGATTTTCTCATATGGTCGCGCCGCTTTGATCTGTTCCTCACTCTAACTGTCTAACTGTAATCACTGGAAATATTTTTTGAATGGGACCAAAGAAGGTCTCTCTTGTTTTTTTGACTGTAGACTACTCGCTTTTTAATGAACAGTTGTGTGTGACTTTTGTATTGGTACAGAGTCCCACTCATCCCTGCACATTTGTGCTTGTCTAAGTTATGTACGACAGAGTATTCAGAGTAGCTCCGGAGTTCTGATTAGACACAAACTCCATGCAGGAGGGTCCAGACCATCTGGCGAAGTAAACAAGTACAACCTGTGAAGTTCCACGTTAATTCAGCCTTTGATTCGTCAGTCTCAGTCTGTCGTGTACTTGTTAGGATTTTTTAGCCCCATTAATTTCAGAAACATGCAGCGGAAAAGCAATTAGACTCCTGAAGAGCTTTCTTTACATGCACCCTTTCGCCCTGCGGGGTGAGAGATTTCTGTCATTTTGTTATTTGCATAAGGTTTCAAAGCACAGGCAGCCGTCTGGGAGTGAGCACTGAACAATTATGATGTGTCATTTGCAAATGATTCATTCTTTTTAAATGAATCTTTTGGAAGGACAAACTGAATTGATTCACCCCATTGAAAGAGTCATTCTCTTGGGGCTCCTGAGTGGTGTTACCTTCTAAGCATTGGCCCTATCATCAGGAAATCAGTCTTTGGGTGGGTAGAATGGCCCACCTGTCTTCCCCCATCACTAGGCAGGCATCTGTTAGCTGACGTAACAGAACTGGTGGTTGGCGCTTTTCTCCGGCCGCGTTCAGCTGTCCAGTGATGTTGCTTTAGCAGCAGTTCGAAAAGATACAGTGGCGCTTCACAGGTCTTGGTGGAAGCCTGTGCTCACTTTCACCCTCCTAGTGCTGTTGGTATCCTGTAATTGGGGAGATCTTAACTAGTGGGTGGAATTAGATATGATGAAATTGGTCATTTCAGATAACTTGCTCATTAGTTGCTTGCCCACACCAAGTTAGCAAGCTAAATTGTTTGGCTTGTCATTTGTCACGAGTATATGTCTCCATATAGCTGCACATAAGCCTAAGATCATTATGTGCAATGCCAAGGGTCGGCAGGAGTGGCGTAAAGCACGCTGCCACTGGACTCAGTGGAAATGTGTTCTCTGGAGTGATAAAACATGCTTCACTATCTGGCAGTATGATGGGTGAATCTGAGTTTGCCTGATGCCAGGAGAACGTTACCTTCCAGAATGCATAGTGCCATCAGTAAATTTCCATTACTACACTTAAGTACACTATATGGCCAAATATATTGGGACACCTCTCTTAATTATTCATTCAGTCCCATTGCCACAGGTGTATATTTGGCGAAAGCCAAACACAGACCTGCCTGTCACCTGCCTGACTGCATTGTACCAACTGTAAAGTTTGGTGAAGGAGGGATAATGATATGAATTGTTTATCTTGGCCTAGGACCCTTAGTTCGAGTGAAGGGAAATCTTAATGCTTCAGCAGACCAATACATTTTGGACACTTGTCTGCTTCCAACTTTGTGGGAACAGTTTGGGGAAGAACCTTTCCTGTTCCAGCATGACTGACGGAGCCCCAGTGCACAAAGCAAGGTCCATAAAGGCATGGCTGGGTGAGTTTGGTGTGGAAGAACTTGACTGGCCCACACAGAGCCCTGACCTCAACCCCATCACACACCTTTGGGATGAACTAGAATGGAGATTGCAAGCAAGGCCCTCTCGTTCAACATCAGTGTCTGATCTCACAAATGCTCTCCAGGATGAATGGGCAAAAACTCCCACAGACACTCTCCAAAATCTTGTAGAAAGCTTCCCAGAAGAGTGGAAGCTGTTATAGCTGCAAAGTGGGGACCAACTCCATATTAATGCTTATGGATTTAGAGTGGGATGTCATAAAAGCTCATGTAGATGTAATGTGTAGGTGTCCCAACACTTTTGTCCATATGGTGCATTATTTTGGACAATTTGTCCATTTGATCCAATAGTTGGACTTTAAACTCTTTACATTTTGATTTAGACCTTGAAAATGCAAATGAAATCTCCATTAGAAAAAAGGAGTATAATTTTAGCCTAAATCATGTTTTGGAAACGTAAACATAATCAGAACTCTCTCGGCATGGCGCCGCTGTGTCTCGGCTGGAAGGTCTGGATGCTGTTTGATGTTTTAAGCAGTCGTCCTGTCAGATGTCAGTCGAGTGCAGAGGCTTCTCAAGCAAGGGGGTATTAGGAGAAAATCCTGTGTTGTACATCACTGAATAGACTGCTGTCAGTGTTTTTGACTGTTGTTGTCTCTTTTTTTCCAGTAAGGCTTCCCTAAAAAGCGAGCTTTAATCTTGTTATCGTGGATGACTTTGCTTCTCCCTCTCTCTGCCTGTGTTTTCGTACAGTAGGGGAACAGATGCCAACTCTTGTGAGCTGCGAAAGAGCTTAATGCAGGCATTCTCCACTCTCGCGGGGTCTGTAACTTTAATCGTCCAGCGTGTTTCCTCTTGCTATGGGTGCTGTGCTATAATGGAGTGTTTTGTGTGTGTGTGTGTTTGTTTCTGTTTGCCCTCTAGCTTCCCAGCCTGTGGAGAGTAAGCTGTGTGTGGGGTCAGTGCCAAGTACCAGCCAGCTGTGCCACATCTCATGCCCCATCGAGTGTGAGGTGTCTCCCTGGGGGGCCTGGGGACCGTGCACCTTCGAAAACTGCAATGACCAGTCGGTAAAGAAAGGTAAAGCTTCAGCCACTCTCTGTATAGACGTAAAAGAGCCACATTATACGTTTTTTTGTATTTTTGTTTGTCTAAATTTGGTAAAGGATGTGTCTTCTGAGGATGTAAGTCAATTATCTACTAGAGACCGTAGCCCAGGGGTGCACAACTCAAGTCCTGGAGGGCTGATGTCCAGCACAGTTTGGCGATTTACCTGCTCAGACACACCTGATTACACTCATCTGTTAATTGGCAGGTTTAATGGGCGTGTTTGAGTAGGGAAACCTCAAAACTGAGCTGGACACCGGCCCTCCAGGACCGGAGTTGTGCACCCCTGCTATAGCCCTGCTGATACACAATTTGTGCATCAAAACCCTCCTTCAGTGGTCAGTTTCTGGCAGAATAGCTCTTGTCTAGATATTTTTGAGTGGCAGACTCTTGGCCTAGCAATGACACTGACGTGTGTAAAACTCCAGCAACACTGCTGTGTCTGATACACTCGTACCAGCACCACACACACTACCATGTCATGGTCACTGCGGACCACCAGCCAAATAATGTCTGGACAATCGCAGTTTAGTGGTCAGAAACTAACCAATGACTAAGGAGGTTTGGGGGGGCTGACAAATTGTGCAGCAGCTGATGAGCTACAGTCTGTAAGTGCATACCTATGCAGTTGACACATAAGGCAGGTGGACCTTACAGAGTGGTCAGGGAGTGGAGGTACAGGATAGAACTGTGTGTTGAGTATATAGTCCTAAGAGCCGTCACAGCATGCATGACTGCTCTTTAGAGCGGACGCTGTTTGAAAGGTAACTGAAAGGAAAATTGCCTTCGATGTCACGTCCCTTCAAGGTGCTACTCTGCGGTCATGTCAGAATTATTAGTGCATGGAAAGTTAATGATTTGTTTTCAATTTCCCTCTGAAAAATCTCTTAAAGCTGAAAAATAACAGGTTTTATGTGTTTCCTGGGATTGCTTGATGAATTCTCTGCAGGGCTGCCAAGCGTTCTCATTAATATTCATTGGTCCACCAATCATTTTTCAGATGGCTTGTTTTCAAACAGCACACCCTGATTCGTTGTATTTAAATGAGTTATACTTGTGAAATTGTGAAAGCACAGCTAATGATGAAAAACAACCAAAATAAAATCAGGATAATAGCGAGCCATGCAGAAGGGTCAAAAACAACGAACAAGGCTAAATTCATGGACAAGGATGAAGCCGAGTCTTGGACTAAGCTGCATGTCCCTGATGTTTCACCATTAAAATGCCATTTAGGCCAGGTTTAGGCTTAATCTGGCTCAGGAAAACCAATCCTGTGTGCTGGTTTTCTAGACCTAGATTAAGGCTAATCCTGTCTAATCCTTTCTAATGGTCATTCACCATTGGCACTGCAGTTTAGTCCAAGACTAGGCTTGTCCAGAAAAGTGGCTCTGGGGCTTTTATTGAAGCCGACAGCAAATTAATGCCATGCTAAAAATCTCATAAAAGTTCTCATAAAAGCAAGTGGAAAGAAAAAGGTCAAAACTAGGGATGTAAAATGTGATGTTCAGTAAAGCTGTTGGATACCACAATAACGATATAATGAGCAATAAATTATGGTTAAAATGTGTGTGCAGAAACTGCAGGCTCTTTTTCGCTGTGTAAAAGCAGTTTTCACATTTAAGGAAATAGCAGGATGGATTTAAGAGTACCACTGTGCAAAATAAAAAGAATGAAATACTGATAGCTACTTACATCATAATTGCAAGCACATTTCTGTGTTTTGTAAAAGCCTTTACACACGAAACGTGTTTTTTTTTCATGCAATTTATCTGGAAGACAGCAAATTAATTCAAGCGCGAGTATATCTGATGATGTCTTGCACACCAAATGCGATTCTTCGGACAGCGAAAATGTGACATCACCTTTGTTTGCCCTCTGTTCAATTTTTGTAAATCTCTGTTTGATTTTTGTGACAAAATCAGACCAATCAGAATCACCTCTGCTGTTGGCATGGTGACAACCAAGCTGACAGAGCAGCTGTATTCCAGCAAATAGAACTTTTTCACAAATGCTAGAAGGATCAGAATCTCCAAAAGCAGATCAAACTGGGCTACAAACATTGAGTTAAATGTGGAAGAACTCAAGGAGTGGAGTGATGAAGCTCTTCATGCTACTGTCACTTTTCCACAAAGGAAAATAGCCCAGTTTTACCATCAGTCTGTTCTGCTAGGAGCAAAGAATCAGATCTTATTTGCACTTAAAGACGTTCAGCCTGTTTGTTTTGGGCTGCGTCTCCAAAATCAGCTTAAACTCAGATCCCAGCTGAAATTTCGTATTTCCGTGTCGTCTTTTCGCATCAAGTTCAGTGTGTAACAGCCTTAAGGCTGCCAGAAAAACAATCAGGTTTCTTTGAACAGCTTTTTCTATACAGGCTACAAAAATGAACAAAAAAGTATTCGATTCTTCTTAAGGTAATGCAGGTTTGTTGTAACAGCAGCCATCAGTGCCTCACACATCTTACACACAACTCTGGGGCTGAGAATAATCTTCATGTTTTAAGGTTAGTAGTTCAGAATAAAGTAGTGAGACTGTTATCACAGCCCTAATATTATACTTGTCATGATAACAATTAAAATACAACTTATCACGCTGCCGTAGTCAAAATTACTGGTCTGACCTGGTCTGGCCTTTTTATTGGTTCTCTATGTCTCCTCATCCTGTAGCTCTGTTTCAGTGATGATACTTCTCATATTGCGTGTATGTTGCTTCCAGGTTTCAAGTTCCGAAGGCGAAAGATCACAAACTACCCAACAGGCGGAGAAGGAGACTGCCCCCATCTGGTGGAGGCCATACCCTGTGAGGAACCTAGCTGTTTCGACTGGCAGCTGCTCAAACTGGAGGAGTGCGTCCCTGATGAGGATATGGACTGTGGTCCAGGAACACAGCTTCCACAGGCACGCTGCGTCAACAGCGACGGTGAGTCACGCTAAAGTTCAGTTCTGTAAAAGCACTGAAAAGAAAACCTCATAACTCATTTGGAAATGCCAGCAATATTGTGTGAACATTTCATAACAGATTAATCAGAGGAAATTTTATAGCACTGTGCATTAACAATTGTCCAAGGGTCAAAAGTGTGCTTCCTATTTTTGCTACTTTCGGCAAAATATTCTAAATTCTATTAACTTGTGACGCCTAAATACAAATGCACAAAATTTTATCCGTAACCAAAAGGTAGTCAGTTGGTCCAGACATGTTTGGAGTCTGAAGTTTCTGTTTTTGCAGTGAAGCTTCAAGGCTAACACAGTGGATGCCTGTAGCAGTCAAAAAGATTTGGGTGACACAGACATGCATTACTTGTTAGCCCCATTAGCCTCATAGCTCCAGTGCAAATATAATAAAGCAAACCTTAGACACCAAACATGTCTTGGCCAATTGGCTACTTTTGGGTTAAGGAGAAAATTGTGTAAATTAGTTTTTTTTTTCGGTCAGCTATTCCTTTAAGCAGACAAATCAATCGGCGTGAAACTTCTTATCATTCTAATGCGACACCTGGTTGGCTCCTTGCGCCAGGCAGCCCAGCGAACAGAGAGAAAAACAAACATGTCGCAGCTGGCTGTACTTTTCAAATCTAGATGATGATAGTGGCAGACGCCTTAAGCTGGTAACTGTCAAGTCTGGTAGCACGTCAAACCTCACAAACCATATGAAAACAAATCGAATTAATCTCTGTCAAGAAAGCTAGAGGTTTTGCCTGCATGTCAGACAGAAATATTCCCAAAGATGCCACCTCTTCACATCACTATCCCGAGCCAAACACACTACAGCCATGCTGCATTTCGACGAAGACACACAGGTAACTAGCTGGATTCTTTGAAACTAATTAGATACAAAAATAGGAAGGTTGCAAACTGGACATACAATTATATGGTTATCATAGAAAGGCATTGTTTGTTTCTTAAGCTGTGGAACAGTGGGAGCAATATTGATTCTGGAAAACACTGTTGTTTAGTCCAGTCTTTTCAAAATATCTTTTTTAAGATAGAATTGTGGGCATCCTGATTACAATGATGTACATTTAAAAATGTCCCAAAACACAAAACATATGCTAAATTATGGTGTATTTGCTGCTGCAAGTCACCCTGTAAAGCATAAAATAATAACTCTGAGGTGATGGGTCAGACTTTTTTTTTTGGACTACGTCTTTATGGATACGTCTTTATGTACTAACAACTCACAAACATGTTCAAAAAGAATGTCTGGCTCAATGCTTAGGTCTCAAATCCAAAGTCAGTATTATACTGATGAAAATATTGGAGGAAGGAATCCCCAAAGTCCCCGTGATACAATATTGCAATATGCTGAGTACTGCCATGACATATATTGCAATATATTGTGATTTATTAGCTTATTTCAACTGCAAATTTTGTCCCCAAAGGAAACCCTTGTCAACATCTCTTTTATGTAATGAGAAAGTTTTTAACTTTGTCATTTTTATTGCAGCAAATTTGGATTATCAAGCAGACAGGCTGTAATAAAAATGTATAAAATAAATCTATATAATAAAACACTGATACGTGGCATCTGTGTATTGATACAATATTGCCACACAAAATATTGTGATACTATGCTGTATTGATTTTTTTACCCTACCGTTAGAAGATGTGATGACAATAGTTGAGTAATTCACTCACATCCTCAGAAGACACATCCTTCACCAATTTTTGGTTGAGCTCTCTTTGAATACTCTTTCAATGCGCTCACAATCATCAGATTCATCCACTTGGGGAAGGGGTCCAAAGCAGAATAGGTGCTGCAATTGCATGCAATTACACATTTCCACCAGAGAGGTCTCCAAATCCCCAAATCTTACATAGTGCAGCTTTAAACTAATTAGATACAAAAATAGATGGGTTCCCCTTTTTTTGTCAGTGCTGCAAATGGGTCAAACAATTGCAACTAGCTTATAGAATGGCAGAGTTTGTTTCCTAAACACTGTAATATTGATTCTGGAAAGCACTGGGTTAGTCTGTCCAGTTTAGTATACCTACTTTTAAGGTTGCACTGTGGATTTCCTGACTGTAATAATGGATAAATATAGCAGAAATGTAATTTCTTTTTCTGCTTTATGTCTAGCATTGGCACCAAAAGACAACATACCATTTGGAAACCCTTCGAGTGAATACCTAATGATTTCTTGAAGCCAAAAAGAAACTTGTGTAATTTATTTCCTTTTTATTTAATAAAATCATTGTGTTTGCTGTATAAACACACAAAAGCCTGAAATAATAATTCAAAAGTCAGGTGTCAGGTCTTGTTTTTCGAACTCCGTTATACATCTTTATGTATTTAAATCATTCACAGGCTGAAAAAGAAGCTTCGGTTCCGTCTAGGCCTCAAATGCAAAATCAGCACATACTGATGAAGATGTGATGATAACAGTAGATGACTCACTCACATCCTCAGAAGACACGTCCTTCACCAAGTTTTAATTAAGTGACCCTTTATAGTCCCACAACGGGGAAATTTCACCTCCACATTTAACCCATCCATACAGTGAAACACCACATACACCCTAGTGAATGCACACACACACTAGGGGGGAGTGAGCACACTTGCCCGGAGCGGTGGCCAGCCCTATCCGCAGCGCCCGGGGAGCAGTTGGGGGTTCGGTGCCTTGCTCAAGGGCACTTCAGTCACATACTGTCGGCTCAGGGGATCGAACCGGCGACCTTCTGGTCACAAGGCTGGTTCCCTAAACTCCAGCCCATGGTAATTACACATTTTAATCAGAGAGGTCTCCAAATCCCCAAAACTTACATAGTAAATCTCACTCTGCAAATATTGTAGAAATACTCTTATTTCACTGTGTTGTTTGGAAATTTTGGCGCAATGGAAAATTGTCCAGTCAGGATTTTTTCTGCTGTACATATTAGATTAACCACTAATTAGGGAGTGACAGTGGAATCAGCCATTCATGTTGGGTGGGGCCACTTCTGGAAGTTCTAGATCAGAACTGACTGCGAATGTGAGCCATAGTCTAACCAGGTTTCAGTCCAGTGTTAGAAATAGAAAGCAAATAAAACATCTGCAAGTTTTTTTTACAAGCTTCAAAAGTCTGTGTTTAGAATCTAGAACGGCTGAAAAAATCATCACCAGCGTTAGCTTAGCGCTAACAGAAATAATGCTAGCAAAAATTAGCAGTATCATAAAGGTGTTTTTTCCTTTTTCCTCATTTTTGACCTAGTTTTGACATTCGTGGCTCGAACTGAAGGCCTAGCTGTAGTCATGGTTCACCACTGCAACATACATTCAGAGGAGCTACCTTCATCATTCCACATACATTCAAAAAGAGCAAGCTGTGTTTCAGGTGTAGTTCTCTGAAACTGTGCTCATTGTCTAGAGTTCAAAGGCTTAGCAGTGTGGTGTCTGTGATGTATGTTCTACCAGGTTATTAAAATTCACAACAAGCTCCTGGCAGAGGTTTTAAAAGAATACTTGTAACTCAGGGTATCTATATCACAGTATTGAAAATTTTACGATGATGCACAGCCCGGTGAGATTATGGAGCTCTGTAGTTTGATGCTCTCAGACAGGGATATGTATATTGTATGGGAACTAGCAGAGTGTGGCTTTTTTACCTCAGGCGTGTCACACTGAATTGAGAATAGTGAGTTCTGTTAGTAGTAATTAATGCTTTGGCTGTGTGAGAGTTTGCCAGGTGTGCTCAGTATTGTTTGTTAATTGTTATGATGTTATTGGAATTCCAAACGCCTGCAATATGCAAATGAGCTCTCTAACAAATTAATAAGTTAATTAAGTTTTCTATAGTGTGCTGTTAACATTCTGACCAACCTCAGATATTCCAGATGAGTTACTGTGGGTGTTTTGAACAGATGGTCCAACAAAGGTAAACAATTTTGGCCGAAATATTACAGACTGATCTTTTTTTAAAGGGGAATTTCACAGTTTTTTGTAAACTTCTGCATAATTAAATTGCTAAGATGTAAACGTTGTAAATGTTTTTCGGATTGGTTTGATACGAAATGCTCCATTAATGAGAATCGTACAAATTCAGAATTGACAGTGGTGGTGATAGGAACCAGACGTCTGAAGAGTTCAATGCCACTAAAACTCTTCCTCACAGAAAGTTATGGCTTAGAATGCACTGCCCGATGCCTAAAACATTGTTTTATGATAGTTTTGGAATAAAGTTTTGGCCTAAAATGTATTTTTAAACATCTCTTCAGGGTGGAGAGGCATATGCAGGGTGTTGTAGTCCCCAAAGATTACATATATAAACTCAGAAGACGAGTAGGTTCACCGGTGGTTTTGGTTTTGGATAGTAAATAAAATGGTTTATTTGTGTTGTAGACATGGTGACCCCTGGTTCCCATCATCACCACTGTAAGGAGATCTGAGTCTGCATGTTTCTCTACAATGAACCAATTCACATCAAACCACTCTGAATAATTTTATTTACATTTCATTGATTGAATTGTGCAGAAATTTTGATAAATTGGTGGAATTGCCCTTAAATATATTCCAAGGCATATTGAAATTGAATTATAACAATTCAATTGCAATATGATATTATGTACGTATCAGCTAGTGCAGCTAGTGAAGGTTAACTGAATACGGTTATTATGCAGTATTGTGCAAAAATTTCCAGTCAAAATGGCCAGTAAGTAGAATTTATTCATTTTTCAGGAGATATTACTGAGGAGATTAGATATTTAAAAAAAAAACACTTGCATAAGGAAGGAGAAGGTCAGAAAAAAAATAAAAACAGGAGTTTCCCAGACTGGAGTTTAAAAAATGATTAAAAGTGACAGAGAAAATGGGGCTCCTAACAACCACCCGCAAGACTTGCTAGACCACAGAAACTGTTCTTATCAGATAAACAGCACTTAAAGCTTTCGTCTCTGAGAGAGAGGAGAAAATCAAGCTGCTTCAGATCTGAAAACATCCACTGGTGT